TTTAGTAATTAAGTTACTTTTCTGACACAGTAATTAGATACGTATTTTAAATACAATATTGACTAAGTAATTAGTAATTAATGACTTTTTTAAAGTAACTTACCCAACACTGTCAATTATACTAGTGAATGTCACAGTTGCTGCAAAAAAGCCACCAAAGGCAGATTGCAGTGTAAATGCTGAGTGACACACCTGCAGGTTTATCCCTGTGCTGTTCTCATCTGTGTTATAGTGACACAAACTATAGTGGATTTGCATAAATAATATGTGTGTCTTCTTATTTGATGCAGAACACCTGATTGGTCTATAAATAGTTAGAAATTGTTATATAAAAAACGTCTGAGCCTTGGCTTCATTTTTAGGTAAATAGTACCATAAAACTTTGTTGTTTGCAAAACTTGTGCATATTTTTTTTAAAAAGTACAAATGTGTTTATTGTCAGCACCGACACATGAAACTACTTAAACATTATAAATGTCTTCAAGCTCACACTAAGGCCTGTAGACACATTTATGTGTATTTGTATATGAATATTTCATACTTTAAGGCTGCCTGTTTATTTGGGGAGATGAACAAGATACATTGGACTTGTACGTAATAACATCACAGATGATAAATTAAAAAGATTTTAAGTAAATGCTTGTGCATTCTTCAAGTCTTGTTGAATATGTTGAATTGAACTATGTGATCTATTTAACGCCTCTCCCAGTCAGTGCTGTTCTCCATGCCTGTGTGACTGTACATGATGTTATTAGCACAAACACTTTAAAGGTGATCATTTAGGACTTTAGCAATAATACAGACAGCAATGTAGCTAGCAATAAAACTGTTTTATTGGAAATGAACTTAAAAAAAAAACACGCATCCATCCATCCATTCGCTTCCGCGTATACTTTTTCAGGGTCGCGGGGGGCGCTGGAGTCTATCCCAGCTGTCATAGGGCGAGAAACAAACAAACATCTGTCTCCTATTTTTATTTTTATTTTTATTTTTTGTCACACAGGAAAGAAGCATCATTATCCACTGATAAGACTTATTTATTTCTTTTATTTTTTCTGTTTTTTCAACAGAAGAATATCTCTAACAAGTTGGTTTATTCACATTTTCACATCTTTAGTTCTAAGTGAAATGTGCATTTTGAGTTTATACACTATGTATATAAGGCGACCATTCCTCTTGCAGTATTTTTGTGTGGTGCGTTTTTCTATGTCTTAACAAAGGGGTTACAAAGGTGTTTAAGTTCACCTAGGATGATTTTTTTTTTTATTCCCGCATGGTCTTACTGAGGTGATGAGAATTAAAATTCGCATTCTTTTTTTGGGGGGAGGGGGTGCTGGAAAAGCTTGAAAAGGGACCTTGAAAGTGCTTAAAGTGCTTGAATTTGACACTGAAAACGGCGTATAAACCCTGAATGGAGTTTCAGTTTGTTCCACGACTGTATTTCACACACTGCTTCTGTTTGTATCTCTGTCACTGTAGGAACAACATGGAGCCAGAAGTCAGCGCTCTCAGGAGGCCGACAAACCTCACAGAAGAAAGAGAGAGAAAAAACACAGCTGTGAGTTGTGTGGAAAATCTTTTACCCGGGCTGAACGCCTAAAAACACACCAAGTCATCCACAGTGGAGTTAAACCTTACAGCTGTGAATTGTGTGGAAAGTCTTTTACCCAGGATGGAAGCTTAAAATCACACCAAGTCATCCACAGTGGAGTTAAAGCGTACAGCTGTGATCACTGTGGTAAAGCCTTTGCTCACAGTAGGTACTTACGAATTCATCAAGTTGTTCACTCTGGAATCAAGCCATACGGTTGTGACATTTGTGGAAAAACTTTCACCCAGTCAGGGCACCGAAATGTTCACCGGCGCATTCACACCAAAAATGATGTTTACTGCTGTGATCAGTGTGGAAAAGTCTTTGTGAACTCAAAAGATTTAGAGAGCCACATGTTTACCCACACTGAGGAGAGACCTTACAAATGTGACTTGTGTGAGAAGGCTTTTAAAGAGCCACGTTCGCTGAAAAAACACCAAAAAATTCACACCAGAAAGAGACTCTACAAGTGCAGTTACTGTGAGGTATGTATTTATATTTTTACAGTTGCAGTTATTTTGAAGTATTAAATGAATGTAGTTTAATTTTCAAAAGTGAAGTGAAATTTATTTTGGTCAACAACAACACAGGTTATTGTCTTGATGCATTCTCAATCATCCAGGAAGGTAAATCTCCAAAAAGTTGATTCTGTCCATCTGGACGTAGCGTTTTGTGGGACAAACGTTTCGTCACTCAGTCTCAGCTGACTGCAGGTTTCCCCAATCTTATAAACAGTACATTTGCATAATGACTGAAACCAGCCCACTGAAGGAACAATGGGCTG